TGCTGAACTGACTTATTATGCTTAACTGTGTTTCATTAGCATTATCAAGCAGCTCTGTATTTAAACCATCAGTCAGTATTTTCTTATTAACAGTTCATTCCTCATAGCTGCAAGTAGAAGCACCCCGCATGTCTCCTCAGTGTGGCATTCATGCCTTCTTCTCCTTTCAAGTTTCTTCATGTGTCTATAACTTTTTTCTGGAGTTTTCCACCAGGATTCATTTAGGGGTGCATTCAAAAAAGCAGGTTCAACCAGAGCACATTAGCGAAGAGGAATCTACTTTGTTCGCTCATGGAGCTGTTCACCCGCTTTAAGCTACACCAGGGCACTCTGCTCATTATTGCTCAGCGCTCAAGTCAGATTGCATCCCACTCTACTCAAATGGCACCCACTCACTCCAAAAAAGAGGAAAGGAAATCTGTGTATTTCAATTTTAGCTTAAACCAAGCCCTTACATCTCAAAGAACTAAAAAACAATCACTGCTATTTTCCACATAGAAGTGCTTTGTTTCAAATTACAGTTGGGTTTATGTAACACAAAATATAACACAAAAATTCATATGTAAAATTCAATCTAACATATACTTACTGTAGCTTAGTTCAAAACAGAGGTATTCTTGAATAACTGGTTTTTTATGTGCTACATGAGGTTTCCATGTCAAATTGTCATCTATTATTACAGCCAAAGATTCACAAAGTCTTTCACTATTAACTCCTTCTATAGGCAATTTTTCTTATTTTTTTGATTAGCAAAAGTCATAAACTTAGTTTTAATTCAAATTTACTGATAATCTATTATGATCACACCACCTCTTAATTTTAACCAATTAATTTCCAGTACTTTCTGCTAAAGCTTCTAATTTCTTGCTTGAGCCTAAAAAAAGAACAAACTGCAATATCTTTGATACTAATATATCATTAAAATACTAAGTTTAGGCCCCAACCCAGACCCTTAAGGAACTCTACATTCAGTCTTTATACACTCAGATTTATTATCAATAAACTGTACATATTGTTGTGTAACAATTTTAGAACTATTCCCCTAACACCACGTCCATGTAATTCTGCAGTTAAATTAGAATCAAAATCAGAATTAGCTTTATTAGGCAAATATGTTCAAATACATAAGAAATTTGATTCTTGTACAGAGGCTATCAAAGGACTTTTGTAAGGCACAAGAAAATTTAAACATATATATGTGAAAAATACACGTAATCATATACTGTACTTTTTACTCCACTACATTTATTTTATAAGTGTAGTTACTAGTTACGTTTCAGAACCAGATTTATAAAAAAAAAAGAAAAGAAAAACAGTATACCGTGTTTTTCGCACTATAAGGCGCACCGGATTATAAGGTGCATTAAGCGAAACAAAACAGTCAGATAATTCAAACTTTATTCAACTCTTTCACAATAACTCTCAACATTGTTCAGTTGTAACACATAAAATACAAAACATTAGGCTCACATTTTCAGTTCATTTCTCTTCCACAAATCCATCAAATTTTTCATCTTCAGTGTCTGAGTTTAACAGTTGGGTGATTTCAGGATCAATACCATTGATTCATTAATGTTGAATTCTCTCGCAGCTGCTCTATTCCCATGTTCTCCTGCGTGACTGATAGCCTTGAGTTTCATAAGCATGTCTCTTAACAGGTGCCATTTTGGGGTCCTTATACACACACCGTAATATTATGTTGAAGCAGAGTACGTATTACTCCTACAGTAGCCGTAATGCTCCGACAATCCATCAAGCGGTGCGGCTTCGTAACTTCGAGGTCAGTAAGCACAACCAGAATTAATACATAAGGCGCACCGGATTATAAGGTGCACTGTCGATTTTTGAGAAAATTAAAGGATTTTAAGTGCGCCTTATAGTGCGAAAAATACAGTAATTGATCCATGGTGGAAAATCCACCTGCTACCCAGCAGTAATTCAAATTAAATGTACGTATATAAGCCATTAAATGTGATGTACACAATAATGCATCAGTATTTATAATACAATATGATATACATGAATGTGAAATGTGCCATTCTGCATAATAAGTAAGGAGTTTGAAGCATTTGCACTTTTGTTTCACCTATTACATCTCCCAATTAGGAGATGGGTTGTAGGGTGGTGCCAGTGTTACCCTGCACTGGAAAGCCCTGTGTGGTCTCACTAATTACTATATCCATCTCAGAAATGTAACATTGGCTACATCATCACATTTCAGTGATCATGCCTTACTTGAGCACACTGCACACACAACAAAATTTAATTAGCGGTACAATACTGTACTGTGGTACAGTATTAAATGTAACAAAAGCACATGCCATTAAAAAGTCACTACTGTATCAACTGTCAGCATTTCAAATGCAATACAAACACAAAAAACATCAATATAGGCATCAGCGTAATCACCATAACCCCACCAAGAAATTACCTGATGTGTGCAAATAACCTTATTCCTTTTATTCACCTTTTGGTTTCCCCTATTCCTCCCATTATTTGGTCCAATAGTGCCCTCAATTGACATAGCATCCAAGCAGCACAAGATGCAATTGACAAGTAAAAACAACAGTCACCAGTGACACTTGTACTGGTTTAGAGGTAAAACGAGGACTTCAGAGAGTGGACCACGGGAAAAGTGGTGAAGACGTCACATTTCTGCAAGTCTGTGTTCAGCTCTTACTGAAGGAAAAAACCTCGGACTCCACCATGACCTGGCTGATTGTTGCACTATGGAGTGATGTCTGTGCTCCCTCTGCTCAGCTGACTGTGTGAGAGGGGCCCCTCCCTCCTCTAAAAAGAGACCCCACACAGAGAAAATATGGTAGAAAAACAAAGCAGGTCGGTCCACCTCAACCCAGAAGGTTATGAAGGGCAAAGTGTAGGGTATACTGACTGTTAGGTTCCGATAGTGGAAACACAGCAAAGGATAGCCAATTAAGAGAGCAGCAGGGTGACACTGCCTGTGGCATACTAACATTACCAATTCCTAAAGATTGCGGACAACACCGCAGTGATAGGTCACATCACTCGCAGGGACGAAACAGCCTACAGGAGGGAGGTGGCTGGTCTGGTGTCATGGTGCAAGGACAATAATCTCAGCCTCAACATGGACAAGATGAAGGAGATCATAGTGGACATGAGGAAGGAGAGGAGAACTCATCAGCCACTGTTCATCCGGGGGCTCAAAGTGGAGAGGGTGAGCAGCTTACCTGGGCGTTCACATCAGTGAGGACCTCACTTGGACACTTAACACCACACAGCTGGTCAAGAAGGCCCAACGGCAGCTGTACTTCCTGAGGAGGCTGAGGAGGTTTGGCATGTCGCCTAGGATCCTCAGCAACTTCTACAGCTGCATCATTGAGAGCATCTTGACCAGCTGCATCACTGTCTGGTATGGCAGCACTACTGCTATGGACCGCAAGCGCCTGCAGAGAGTGGTAAAGACTGCGGAGAAGATCACCAGGACTCCACTGCCCTCTCTGCAGAGCATTTACCACCGCAGGGTGCGTAGGAAGACTCCTAAACAACCGAGGAGTTTATTACCAGGAAATACGTCATGTACTGTTTACATTCTCAGTTTGCACATGCATAATTGCACATTGACTGTTGACTGCTGCACATGCTGCTCCAATGCATCATACATTCTCTTATTATATTCTTATATATTTTTATTATATTGCTGCATTTGCTGCTTAAAGTGCCTTAGATTTAGTGTTATTATTTATCCACTTTATATTTCATTTGTATTTTGTGGCATTCATGTGGACGGCAAAGTAAGAATTTCATTGTATAGGGAAACACGTTTCCTAACTAACAAATAAACACTTTGACCTTTGACCTTGACCCTTGCAGAAATTACTCAACTAGTGCTGTTCCAAATTGAACAAATCAGTATATACACCAATTCATTTATCAGGTTTGATACAAATGGAGTTTACAGCCATATGCTGCGCTTCAAGGTCCGACTCTGACAAAGGCTTTCACATTCTTCTATTTGATTTTTCATATGATGCCAACCTAACTACTAGGTAAATAAATTAAAGCATTTCAATCACAAATAGTGTTAAAACACAACTGAGTACTGTGTGACAGTTTAGCTTTAAGCAGTGGAGCAGGAGACACACACTTTACCCTCATCTAGGAACAAAATAAAACAGAATGTGGCCAGGAAAAATATTACCATAAGGAAAATACACAATCAATCAATATTTTGCCAAATTGGAGCAACTGAGGTAACTGCCATTTAGGCTACTACCTTGTTAAAATATGTATTTGTTACAAAAAATACTGTGGAGCACAGCAAAGTGAAGGCTGAGGCATGGGTGTTTACCTTAATTGCCAGGGCAACTGTAGAGGGGTCCATCACACACCTCCACAGCCTGAACACACACACACACACATACACACACACAAGTACCCTACACACACGGCATTATGTGTTTTGAGCTAAGCTACCTGTGAAGAAACATTGAATTAATAGGGCAAACTCAAGTCTGAAAAACAAAAAAAATCCATTTATATTTTGTTTTTTCAATTTTGGCAGAAAAAGAATTTAAATAATTTTTTTTGTTTGTTTGTTTTTTTTGCTTTGGCAGTAAAACTAAAAAAGACGTCAGCTTGTTAGGCTGTGGCTATTGTTTACTCCCGGGGATTACCACAGTATTAGCTGTATGTGCTTGCTACAGACAGCGTTCACTATTACACTCATACTGTACACACATTTTTTTGATATAATCAATGGATTTTTTTAACTGTATACAATTTGTTATATGATAAGGTACTATTGCACAATATAGGCTATAAATGTGTTGGATACACACACACACACACACACACACAAATAAAAACCAACAATATCAGACAATAATATGATGTTGTAAAGATCAGCTAAATAAAGCCGATACCAAATGCTTTACTTTCACATGATACCAATCAGACAGCACACAGTTTGCCTGGCCTGCAGTGGCCAAATAGGCACATGTAATGGTTACTGAAAAACTCAAAAGGTTTGATTCATGTTGTCTAGTGATCAGTACGTATGCTGGGTAATTATAAGAAGCAAACTTCCTGGCACTACATTCAACCTGCTCCTAGTGCTTTCAGTGATACCAGCCAGCAGCCAGAGGAAGGGTCTTAGGGCCCAGCCTTGAAAAAGCCTGCACTCCTGTCCTGCAAGAAAGTGTGCCATTTATCTATACTGCTTATCCTAATGAGGGTTGCAGGGGGCTGGAGCCAATCCCACTTGGCGAAAGGCAAGGTACACCCTGGACAGGTCACCAGTCTATTGCAGGTCTGACACTTAGAGACAGACAACCACATTCACTCCTACAGGCAATTTAGAATCACCGAGCAATTTTAGAGTCACCAATCAACCTAAGCTGCATGTCTTTGGACTGTGTGAGGAAGCTGGAGTAGCTGGAGAGAACCCACACAGGCACAGAGAGAACATGCAAACTCTGCACAGAAAGACCTCGGGTCAGCTGGGGCTTGAACTTGGAACCTTCTTGCAGTGAGGTGACGGCGCTAATCACTGCACCACCCTTCTGCCATGTCATTTATTTTTTTATTTATTATTTTTGCAGTTCTTATTCAGTTCTGTGGCACTTGAATAAACGTGCATGGATGAATATACCTATTAAAACCAACTTTTCAAATGCTCTGAACTGGCATACTTAGCTATAAATATTCTTCAAATTATGTAGCCCCCCCCAGTTTGTACTAAAGCCCTCATTTAGCTCCAGCAAGAAACGCACACCTTTGAATATAGGAAGGAATGAAAACATAAATAAAGGAAAATTAACCAAATAAAGAAAATACAAACTGTTTGCCGTACAGTAGTAGATTGTGTAAGCATGGAAAGCATTTGAAACCTAGTGCAACTGTTTAAATAGAGATCATTCCATGCACAGTCCATGTCTCACAAAATTATATGTTTTTGCCTTGAAGTAATACTTTTTGCTTTGTTAATGTCAATGCTTGTCTTTTTCTCTTGTCAGAAGGAGAAGGAACAAGAGAAGGTACAAGAGGAAGCCCAGTTGATTGAGTTTGTTAGAGTTCGACAGAACCTGAGAAAGATCCACACAGCGATCCAGAACAAGGCTGCAAACTCCTAAAGTGCTATAGTAGAATACACCCAAAATGTACTGTATAATGAACTTTGGTTATTTACTGCCCCTTACATGCAAGAGTAGCAACAAGGTCCATGCTGAAAGACAAATAGTATGAATGTATTTAAAACAGATTTTATTAAAGAGAGTTTTATGGATATTTATGGAATCAATATACTTTTATAGCAATGTAAAGAAATGTCATCTGCTGGTTTATGGGAATCAAATATTTATGTAGTTTTGCTTAATGTAGTAGTGGTTACTTATCAATAGTATGTTGTACTTATCAATAGTATGTTGTAGAAAACCAATATGATCTCCTTTGTTTGGTGAAATGTTTTAATGTTGTCATTGTGAATGCATGTGAAAGACTTCTTTATGATGTCAGCTAATGAAACTACTGATATTCATCCATCATTGTGGTTTGGGTTCAGCAACCAAGGACAGGAACAGACTCCAGCAGACCATCAGGACTGCAGAAAAAAATCATTGATGCCAGCCTTCCCTCCATGGCATGAAGGAGCTTTACATCTCAGAAAAAGTCAGGATGGTATGTAAAATCAAAATTAAAACTGAAAACAGTGATGTGTAAATCATCTGTGTCCTGTATTACACTGAAAACAATACAGCAGCAAATTACTTAATGTGATACCTCATGAATTTTATTCTTTGTTCAAAATAAACACTCACTTCAATTCTGATGCTTGCAGCACGTTCCAAAAAAGTTGGGACAGTAAAGCATTTACCATGGTGTGATGTTGGATCCACCCTGAAGAGATGACAAACTATTGTACCCCAGCTTTACCAATGTTTGAGAGCTCGTCCTCAAGTTTAGGAACAACTTTCCCAGCATTTACAAATACTCTGGGTTTTAAAATTGTAGTCACCTTAAATTGCCACCTACAAACCACATAGAGGGCTCATGACCCCTCCAAAATAAACTAGAGAAGTGCAGCCTTTTCTTGACTAAAGATGGGGTTGTGGAAAGAATGTGATACAAAATGTGAAAGTTGAACCAGATCCAACTTTTTTGCCACACAGGTTTGTCTTGTTTTACTGGCATCCCCTGCTGTGCTGTTGCCAGCTGAGGTGAATGCATTCCCTCATAGAAATGAATAGGGAGAGTGGCATTTTTTTTTCACATCTTTGAAACTCAGTCTGAACATGGCCTTTCCCTGTCTTCTCTCTCCAGGAGTGGAGAAGAAAGTAGCCCTGTGTCACCATCTGCTGGAGAAATTAGTTCACTTCCTTGATCAACTTTCCTCAGCATGTAATATAGCTCAACATTATTCATTTTTAGTAAAAAAAAACACTTCTCTTTCAAACCACACACCTGTGTTGAGTATTTGGGTCCTCACCAATACCCACTCCTGACAACTCACAGTGTATTCCTCCCTCTAATAATGTATTCATTTTAATTGAATTCAATTCCGTTTTATTTGTATAGCACCAAATCACAACAAGTCACCTCAGGACACTTTACAAAGTAAGGTCTAGACCTTACTATTAACACTATTATTAGAGAGGGAAAACCCAACAAATCCCCCTTGAGCAAGCACTTGGCGACAGTGGGGAGGAAAAACTCCCTTTAACGGAAGAAACCTCCGACAGACCCCGGCTCTTGGTGGGCGGCCTTCTGCCTCGACCGGTTGGGGTGAGTGGATAGAGGAGAGACAAAAGAAGAAAAGCAACAACACACAACAAACAACTGGTCAGGTTGATGTGGCCATTGACTGCTCATCAAAAACATAGAGCTCCAGAGCCAGGACTACCTGCAGAAAGGTACAGGGAGAGAAAGAGGACACACTATGGGAGAGAAGAGACACAAAATTTGTGATATGTAATGGTGGCATATAGAAGCAAGGAAAGGGGAGGGGAGGAGAGGAGAGGAGAGAAACTCAGAGTATCATGGGCCCCCCAGCAGCCTAGGCCTATAGCAGCATAACTAAGGGAAGGCTCAGGGTCACCTGATCCAACCCTAACTATAAGCTGTATCAAAAAGGAAAGTCTTATGTCTAATCTTAAAGGAAAAGAGGGTGTCCGCCTCCTGAACTGAGACTAGGAGCTGGTTCCACAGGAGAGGAGCTTGATAGCTAAAGGCTAAACATATTAAAGCTCCAAACACTGCTTGAGGTTTTTTGGCAGAGATATTCACTCAGTAATTGGCCATCCCTGGTAGGCTAGTGGTTAAGGCGCAGTGCTCTCGCTGCTGTGGCCTGGGTTCAAATCAGGGTTGCGTCAGAAACGGTATCCGGGGTAAAACACATGTGAGTCATCAGTGTGATGTTTCACTGTGGCGACCCCTAAATGGGAAAAGCTGAAAGTGACTTTCTTTCTCATTAACTCAGTAATTGACTGTCCTGAACCTGCGAACAGAGTACCCTGCAGCCCTCCCACTTGAATGTCAGTGTTTCAGGACAAGACCCCAAATCTTACCTAACAATAACAACCTGCCGTTATAGGCAGCTATACCTCCTTATACCTTTGGATGTTACTCTACTGAGAAGTTTTAGGATCTAGTATACTCTGGCTCTTTGAAGAAGTGTTGAGTTTTGTCTGAAATAACCTATAAAAGCCATGGCACTGGCCACTTAGTATGACCATGTTTACATTGCACAGTATTTAGCTGACATTGGTTAATTTCCCAAAATAGGACGCTCAAGTTACAGTATATTGTTATGATTGTGCGGCTTCTTGCCGGGAGGTGAGGAAGGAGCAGGCTGGACTCAGATAGCAGAATCACAATTCTGGTGAAAATGGAAATTTATTCTAACCACAATAATGAATGTAGGGAGCTAATGTAGTAATTATCTCTGAAGTATCAAGAGGCCAGGAGGATAGGCCTGGGCTGGAGGAGAGGTAGCTGAAGGAGGAGGCATCCTTGGTGGTAGTTGGCATTGACCACCCAGGAGAGGCACTGAGAAACTGGTGTCTGAGATGACAGAAAGGGCAGAGGGAATAAGTTATTATAGCAGCGATGTAACTCACTGTGACCTAGGAGTGACTGAGAAGCTCCATCAGGGATGAGGTAGAGAGCTGCAGGCTGGCAGGAGAAACAGTGGTAGCTGGAGTAGGTAATCTTGAGGCGGTAGGAAATGACGGGTGAGCTCAGAGGCTAGTGGAAGCCGGGAGGAGCGAGGCGTCGTAGCTGGCTTCACTAGGAGATTGATGAGAAATTGTTGATAGCTCGGAGGCTGGGGGCTGTCAAGGAGTCAAAATAGGAAAATATTTGCAGTTAAATAGGAAAGAACAGGAAAATATATACAGCAGCAGTATTTACAAATGATTTCACTGGGGTGATTGCTGTGTCCTGTCATACAAGCATGGATTAACTGTTCATATGAGTGATGGCACTGGGAACTCTGCTGGCAGGTTTATGCTAGTCAATTACTGAGTGAATATCTCTGCCAAAAAAAAAAAAAACCTCAAGCAGTGTTTGGAGTTTTAAATATGTTTCAAATATGCCACCTTAGTGCGATATTGTGGCCTTCAAACAGGGGAAACTGTCCTTGTGTCTGGTTGTTATGGTGTACAGTATTCCTGAATTACGACTGTGGAATGTCTCTCTAAAAGTCGTTTTGATAGAAAACTATAGTTATTTAGCAAATCATAATCTGGCTTTTGCAATTAGGTTTTTTTAAAATACATTTTCAACATATTTTTATTCTATTACCTTTGAAGTAGTTGTTAAATGTATTAGCCAATCAGCCATCTTACTTCCCCTTAAATAACTTGAACAAAAACCATCCAAACCGGATTATCACACAACACACCTTGTTGGGGCAAAGTAGTGCAGGTACGACAGTCCTCACACTAACTTATCAGGAGTCAGCTATGAATTATCAGCAACAGGTAAGAACCAAAAAACAACAAACAGCTCTGAATTATCTGGCAAAGGCAAAGAATTAATAACAGTGAGAACTGAAGCAAAAACATTTTGACTACAAGCAACTAAATTATGTTTATGCCATGAAAACTGCTGCACCTGTAATCTTAATAAATTGGACTCCGTCATTCTGTAGATAATGAAATGTAACTTTATCTACCTATTTTAATAGAGACCTGTAATATATAACAGAAACATGATGTTAACACATCCTGCATTATTACATTATGGTACATTGCATTCATTCAGAAGCTGCATTTGTCCAGAGCATTTTACAACATGTGCTCTCATCCTTAATAGTATCAACTGCTAGATGTCATATAAATTTCATCTAGTGAATGCTTCACAAACAAACTAAAAGGGTGATCCGTTTTAACTATATAGAATGACCAGAATTTACCATTACTAAAGACTATGTAACAGCAAATGTGCCCAGAATGTAATGTAATGTTGCTAAACCTGCTTTAAGACTGGATAGGGAGTGGAGCAGGGAGGAGACATGTCAGAAACTGCTTCTTTTGTTATTATATACTGTCCTATGTTTTGTAATGAATGCAGGTTGATGAAATTGTTTCTACTGCCAAATTTGGAGACTTGCTAGAATTTTCCTACCCTATTGGATATTCACACTGGGGAGTGTATGATGAAGATGGATATGTATTCCATTTTGCTGTTGCAGGTGAGGCCAACATCTAGTATATTTCTTTGCATTAATAGCCCACTACACTTTATGATCATGAAGGCCCTCACATTATGGAAGTGAAGAATAATTGGCATGTTTTGTGTGTTTCTCAAACATTCACAATTGAAAAAGACAGGTCTGTGTTCACATTTATAGGAAGATGCCTTAAGAGGATGAGGTTATGCCTTGGCTGGTGTTAAACCAGTTGTTAACTGGTCAAATCATTAATAAATGCTTATGGGTTTCTCACTTTCTAATATACTATAAAAGATACTGATGTTAATGAAGTCATTAACAATGAACCTCTCTCCTAATCCACTAATATATTAAGAAGAATAAGCATTACTTATCTGTTACTATACATTTTAAGTCATTAGTAATGGCTATACAAATCTTTCAAGTAGTATGTGTCAAGTTATTAATGTATTTTAGCTCAGATGTTCTGCAACCTTTCCCATAAGGTAAGTGGTCATCAGCTGGGAGCTAAAAAATGAAAAAGCAAGTGTGATGCTGGAGAATAAACTCCAGTCAGAGATATTTTATAGCCCCAGTGTAAAATAACCCAAATGTTTTTCTTAGTAACTGCTTGTAATTGATCCATAAAGCATTATTAAATGATTCATGAATGATTAAAGGTTCTAATTTATTCTTAACAAATACAGCAAAAAAGTACAAAACCAACAATGACTATTTTCTAAATAAGATCTAAAAACATATAGTAGCACTATAGTTCTTCAAAGTCAGCTCTATTATACAATCAAAAAGAAGCTGCCATGGTTTTACAGGTAATACGGTGGGTTTACACCTTGTCATACAGTGATAGTCTTAGCTTCCTGCCTGATATTGGTTAGCAATGTTGTGTGGTTAGTTAAGCTTTTTTTAGATTGAGGTTGGGTTAGATGTTTCCAGTTTTGCTTGTTCATTTTCATACTGGGTGAAAAGACAAACTGTAATACTAAAATGAGAGAAAGAGAGTGAGACTTGTATTTACTTGTGAATTTTGTTGATATTTGAAATTGACAAAAGATAGACATTTCTTTAAGAACAATGAAAACTGAGACTATTAGTCATCCTGAAAGTAAACTGTTCCATTCCTTAGATCAGGGGCAACTGATGACCAGCATACGTACTTCCCTACAAGGAATGTTCCCTGTATGTGGGGACCTTCTCCTTGGGGAAACCAAGATCCGCAGAGTGCCTCTTTGTGAGGTAAATGTCCCAAAAGGAGCCCAAGTCATAATCAGTAACAACCGCCATGCCTTCAAACCATCTGCACCTGAGGATATGAGGCTACGCTGCAATGCCCTTCTTGATCGGGAATTCCAGTATCATCTTTTCAATTTCAACTGTGAGCACTTTGCCACGTTTGTACGCTACGGAAAAGCTGTGTGCAACCAGGTATAACTTTGCCACAGAGAAAACATCTTGCTCTCTTTCTGAGTATTTTATTGTATGAGTAATTGGTTTTGCTCAATCAATCAATCAATTATATTCAAATACAACTTAAAATGTTGTTGTTTGATAAATTCTGTGTTTAGACTGAGAAGTAACCTGCACTTCAGCCACATCAAACCAATGAAACAGCCAATCAGGTGCAACAGCTTGCATCAAGTTTACAACATAACAAAATTCAATATATCAACTTGGTGTGAGTTATACAGTACTAAGGGAAACATTTATTAGATTGTGAGAAGTCCATTTCTGATGATTATGCCCATACTATATATTCTGCTGGTTAGCAAAGTGACATTTGTTTGACATTAATATATTTTGGTTTTGCAATAATAACTAGACAGCACTCAGAGTGCAAACCTCCACCAAGGTGACTCAGTTTCTCTATAATGTTATTATACCAAAAAGCAATAATCACGTGATAATTTTCATTTCCCATGCAGACTGACATAACAATATGTACATAGAGTCTTTCATAGATACACACCAGTCACACCATTTGGCTGCATATAAGTCCATTTTAGAGTCCCTTTTTCCAGTGTGTCTCCTGCTACACTTATTATGAGGTATTCACACATACAAAGTAGATGGCTGTCACTGGGTTCGGGCAAAACTGTAGTTCTGGAAGTATGTTATGTTGAGCTGGACAGATGTGACATATACACCATACTACGTATGTGCTATACTTCATGTCCTGCTGCACAGCTTGTTTACAATTGCAAGCAAATGTAGTACAACCCCAAATCAGAAAAAGTTTACATGTAATGTTGGCATGGAGAAGAGAGGAGAAACTCAGAGCATCTTGGGGCCACCCCAGCAGTCTAGGCCTATAGCAGCATAATTAAGGAAGGCTCAGCTGACCCTGAGCCTTCCTTAATTATAAGCTTTATCAAAAAGGAAAGTCTAATCTTAAAGGTAGAGAGGGTGTCCGCCTCCTGAACTCAGACTGGGAACTGGTTCCACAGGAGAGGAGCTTGATAGGTAAAGGCTCTGCTTCCCATTCTACTTCTGTGAACTCTAGGAACCACAAGTAGACCTGCACTGTGAGAGCAAATGATCAGGTTTAATTTTGTCCCATTTTTACTACAAAGAAGTCTTACGGTCCTGGTTCGTCGTTGACGCAATTTGTCTTTCAAAATGCATTACATATTCTCTATTATGGATGGGTCGGGACTGCAGGCAGGCCAGTCCTGCACTCACACCCTTTTCCTCCACAGCCAGGCTTCAGTTATATGTGCATTATGAGGTTTTCCATTGTTTTGATGAAATATGCATGGGCTTCCCTGAAAAGATGTTGTCTTGTTGGCAGCATATGTTGCTCCAAAATTTATATGTATTTTTCAGCATTAATGGGGCCATCACAGAAGTGTAAGTTACCTTTGCCAAGGGCACTGACACAACCCCAGACCAAGACACACCCTGGCTTCTGGACTTATTTCTGGTAACAGTCTGGATGGTCCTTTTCGTCTTTGGTCTGGAGCACATGCTGTCCGTTCTTTCCAAAAAAGACCTCAGAGTCAAGAGTCAAAGTGTTCATTGTCATGAGCACAGTACGGAAACACGTTTGCCTGTACAATGAAATTCTTACTTTGCTGTCCACATGAATGCCACATAAAACAAATTAAATATAAAGTAGATAAATAAGTAACACTAAATCTAAGGCACTTGAAAGCAGAAAATGAAGCAATATAATAAAAATATATAAGAATATAATAAAAGAATGTATACTACATGGGAGCTGCATGTGCAGCAGTCAACAGTGAATGTGCAATTATGCATGTGCAAACTGAGAATGTAAACAGTACAGGTCATCAGTATGTCATTACATGACGTATTTCCTGTTAATAAACTCCTGTCAGCTGTTTAGGAGTCTGTTGGCAGAGGGAAAGAAATGGTATAATGATGTTGAGAAAATCAGGTCCACCCACCCCTGGGGGTGGGTGGACCTGATTTGTCTGACCACAGTGTGATCCGTCCCAGATGCCTCTAAGCACAGAGCAGTTGACTGCGCTTCTGGACACTGTTGACATAGGGCTTCCTTTTGGCACAGTACAGGTTTAAGTGGCACTTATGGATGTAAGTACATATTGTATTGCCTGACACAGGTGTACCAAAGTAATCCTGAATTCATGTGGTTATATTGCTTATAGAGATAGAGACAATTCTTGATGCAGTGCCATCTGAGAGCCTGGTCATCCAGCTTAGGCTTGTACCCTTGTTACAGTTTGTGGACTTGCTTCCAGTTATGTAGTTTTATTTTGTTGGATTTTCTGTCAGTGCCATTTTCACCTGCCTCAGCTTGACTGCGGTTTATAATCATCACTCATTGGTTCCACCTGTCAGTTACACAGTTCCTTCCTTCAGTTACCTGCTGGTTCAGTGTCTTGCCACAACCTGCGAATTTCCTTGTTCCTGAAGCTTGGTTTACACAACCCCCCCCGTTTTGCATTTTGCCCCTGCATCTTCTGGATTATTCCCCTTTGGTTGTTGGACTTACCTGCTGTTTGGATTCTCAGTTCTGTTCTTCAGGTTTGTTTGAGTTGACTGTTTTTGAGTTCATTTATCTCGCTCCCTGACTGAACTGTTGTTTTATATCCTTTTCAACCTTTTGTGTTATGTTTGTCAGGTTGAGCCTCTCTAGTTTTTATTTTGTTTCTTGTCCAAGTATTCTTTATTAAAATCTACTAAAAATTAGTGCTTTTGCTTGTGTCTGCATATTTGGGTCCTCCTGGTGCCCGAGACCTGACAGAATGAACCAGCCTATTGTGCCTATCATCACAATGGTTGTCCCAGGTTGCCTCAATCGAGGCCAACATACGGAAGTGCTGTGAAACCTGGTTGACCAACAGTTTTCTGTCCCAGCCTGGTATGTGTTCAACAATGCTAAGCCCTCGACACCCAAACATCAACCACCATTGGTGATCCAGGTTTGGAAGGGGGTCACCCTAAGCCTGGCAGAGATAAGGAGCATCCAGACACAACTGAAAGCCCAGATGGAACATTCTTGTCCTCCTCTTGACCCCAAGGACTGTGACACAACAGGTTTTCCTGCTTGCAGCAGCCCAGCCCCTTCATATCAAGCTGTTTGCTCCTCTGGGCCTCACTCTCAGCCTTTCCCCAAGCCGCACTCTCAGCCTGTTCCTGAACCTCAGTCCATCTTTTCCTCCATTAACCTGGGTGTAGTGACTTTATCACCTGCCTCTGAGCTTAATCAGGACCCTCCTGCTTCTAACCCTGAGCTCCCACCATTTTGGGGAACCCATCTAGCATTTGCCTGGGAGGTTTAGGGAAAAGGAGAGCCCAGAAGAAGGGTTGTCCTCAAAAAACATCTTGTCTGCCTGATCACATCTCGCGTCCTCATATCCAGCCACTGCTGTCTCAGTCTGTGTCTGTTCCTGAGTGGCAGCAACAGCTGGCCCCCAAGCTGCAGCACCAGTCGATTCCCGAGCTGCAGTCTGCTTCTTGGAGGAAAGGCCAAGGGTGCAAGTGGTGAACAACATGGCCTCTTGGTTTCCGACCAGAGCCCTGCCAGTGTGATGATGACCTTTAGTGTGATGATGCTGGTGTCCCCTCTGCAGCAGCTGTTCCCTGGTGTGTTGATGAGAATGTCCCTGCCAACGTTTCCATTCTTCTGTGTGCCGACAAAGACACCCCCACCAAGGCTTCGGCTCTCCAGTGCACTGACAAGAATGCCCACATTGGGGTATCTACTCCTGTCATACAGCGGGTCAGAGAGTACCCTGGCCTGAACCTTTTGGTTATCCCCAAGCAGAACAGTGTGGCTGCCAACGCCTCCAAACCCAGTGTGGTACATTAGAGGGTCAGTGAAGACATCCCCACCATAGCAGCTGGTTCCTGGTGTGCCAATGAGAGGCTCCAGTCCTTCAGTGTGCTGACAGAAATGTCCCTGCCAAGGCTCCAACTCTGTGCTGATGAGTACACCCATGCTAATGCCTCTGATCCCGTCCCCGTTTGATGCCACTACCGTCCCTGTTCCTGAGTTGGTTGATGCTACCTCTGCACCCGTTTCCTCATAGATCAGTGCCGTGCTTGCTCCAGTCCCCAAGCGGGTCAGCTGGAAGGTGGATGCTGCCTCAGTTCCTGTTTCCAAGTGACATATTGAAATCTCTTCCTATCTTTCTTTGAGGAACATTGTTTTTAAACATTTCAATAATTTTCTCACACGTGTTGGCAAACTGGTGATCCTCAACCCATCTTCACTCCTAAAGGGTTGGGCCTTTCCTGGATGTCACTTTTGTGCCAAATCATGATTGCAGTCACCTGTTGACATCACCTGTTTCAAGTCAAGTTATCATTTCATTGTTTTACCTCATTACTGGCCCTGAAATGCAACCGTCCCAACTTCTTCTGGAATATGTTGCAGGCATCAGAACTGAAGTGAATTATTTTGAGCAAAGAACAAAGTTGATGAGGTATCACGTCAAATGATGTGCTAGTGTGTTGTTTTCAATGTAGTATAGGACACAGATGATTTACACATCACTATTTTCAGTTTCAATTTAGATTTTACATCCCGTCCCAACTTTTTCTGATTTGGGGTTGTATTAATTCTGAACTTAAAGTCCAATACAGTACTCTATGTGCAATTTCAGTGCCAGCATCCTTGACAACAGACGACTCTGTTTTGAACAAGATCTAGCTGCCAACTAACAGAACTAGCTTGGTTCTCTAACAAGTACTCACATCTCCAAAAAACATTGAAACAAATTTCTAAACTGGCATTACTTGAATAGAGTAAATACATTATTACTGGAAAAATGTCACAACTTAATAAAGTGGCATAATACCAGTCCTAGGATACAGTAGCTTTGAGCTTGGCTCAAAATCTCTGCCATCACCCTCTGAGATCAACATAATCCTGATTGGCTCTTGTCCAGCTGTTGCTGCATAAACGTGAGCTTTCCCCTATTCTGGGCTGTCACATCACTGGGCTCCTTCAGTTACTGTCTTGCACAGCGTGGTGTACTGAGCAACAGAACTTGTTTTCCACTGACAGTGAATGGCCAGCTATCACAGACCCAAGGATTTGTCTCCTTATGTAGTTGAAGTGGTTATTACCACAGCTGTGCCCTTTAGCCACAAGGGGGCTCACATAGAGTTAACAGCCTTTCCAGCACCAAAAGTGTTGAAGAATCCTTTTTAAAAATTCCTGTATCCAAATGATGATACCGATATAATCTATTGTTCTATGGGCCATATCCTACCTCTCCAAAAATGTCATCAAAATCCTTTCATTGCTTTTTGAGTTATGCTGTCAACAAACAAACTAACCAACAAATGCTGGCAAAAACATAACCTCCACCCTTGGCGGTAGTAGTAATAATAATTTTCCTGGTATTATAAATTATTTATTATTATCATTATAAATTATATATTTGTAGTGTGATATTTTAAGTGGTCTGTAATGGTTTTTGCAGGACATTGCTTATCATTAATGACCAATATTATATTATTCCTCCTGTAGATTCCTGTAAGACGCAAGAATGTAGAGTGCGAGAAGGCAACTGCAATCTTCAGCGACATTGTCAGCTCCAAAAATACTGCTCAAGACAATTCCAATTGAACCATCTTTTCAAGTCAGTGATGAACAAAAAAGATGAAAATCCTCACATTGATTAATTAACCAAAGAATTATTGGTGTGCTCAGATGGGCCCCTCCTGCTCTCAGTGATCACCTTACTGTTTTAGCTGAATTCATGATGTAGTTCTCAAATATATTTGAATTTCTTTTGCTAGATAACAATGATAACATTTGATTGTAGGTCTCGCAGTATGGCTGCCATCATTAACCTGTTGTGATCATAAAATAATGACTTTACTTGCAGCTCAGTAGCCTTGTAATGACTGCTAGTCATTATAGTTTAATGTTTGTTAACTGCAGTCAGATTTAATGCTCATTCTGCTATCTAACAATTGACATAGAAGATTGTGTAATGAATAAACTACAGTTGCAAGAAAAATTAATGGCACTGTTTGCAATTTCCTGGTTCTCTGCATCAATTGGTCATGAAATGTGATCTAATCTTCACCAAAGTTACAAATTTAAACAAACACAGTATTTCTAGGCTGATAAAACATACAGTCATGATCTTTCATGTCTTTACTGAACACACCCATTAAACATACAAAGTGATGGTGGAAAAATTAATGGAAACATGAGGCTCAATTGGAAAAAAGTGGATTACTCTCTCCGGGTTGGGGAGGAGTTGCTCCCTCAAGTGGAGGAGTTTAAGTATCTCGGGGTTTTGTTCACAAGTGAGGGAAAATGGAGCGGCAGGTTGACAGACGGATCAGTGCAGCGTCCACAGTAATGTGGTCTCTGTACTGGTCCATTGTGGTGAAGAAGGAGCTGAGTCGTAAGACGAAGCTTTCAATTTACCGGTCAATCTACGTTCCTACCCTCACCTATGGCTATGAACTTTGGATCATGACCGAAAGAATTAGATCGTGGATACAAGCGGCAGAAATGAGTTTCATCCGGAGAGTGGCCGGGCGCATCCTTTGGGATAGGATACGGAACTCAGTCACCTCTGAGGAGCTCAGAGTAGAGCCGCTGCTCCTCCACGTTGAGTGGAACCAGTTGAGGTGGCTCTGGCACCTGTTTAGGATGACCCCTGGACCCCTCCCTGAGGAGGTATTCCGGGCATTTCCCTCCAGGAGAAGGCCTCGGGGCAGACCCAGGACACGTTGGAGAGACTATGTCTCCCGGCTGGCCTGGGAACGCCTTGGGGTTCCTCCTGAGGAGCTAGAGGAGGTGGGTGGGGAGAGGGAAGTCTGGGAGGCTCTGCTCAGGCTACTGCCCCCGCGACCCGGTCCCAGATGAAGCGGATGAAGATGGATGGATGGATGAGGCTTCTAATGTCACTAAATGTCAACTGGAGTCAGGTATTATCAAACCTGGAGTCCAGTCATCTTGACTTATAGAGACACTCAAACAGTGTCCATGTGCTATTCATAAGCAGCATCAGCTGATGTCTAGCCATGCCTCACAAAAAGAGATCTAAGAAGACCTACGATCAAGAGTTGTTTATTTGCATGGAGCTGGAAAGGGTCAGCGTCATCTCAGAGACATTAGATATTCATCAGTCCACAGTTAGACATAGTGTCTATAAATGGAGATGATTTGGTACAGTGGCTAGTTTCCATAGAAGTGCGCACCCAGCCAAGATCACTCCAAAGGTACAAGGTAGAGTGATCAGTGAGGTAGAAAAGAACCCTAGACTAACAGCTAAAGACTTGAAGGATTCACTGGAGTTGGTTAACCTTCATCACAGAACACCACAGAGGAAGCCATTGGTCTCCAAAAACAACATTACAGCAGGCCTGAAGTTTGCCAAAGACCACCTTGACACTCCACAACACTACTGAGAAGATGTCCTTTGGACAGATGAAATAATTGTAGATTTGTATGGGAACAACACATAGCACTACATATGGCATAAAAAGAGAACCCTGTACCAACATGAAAACATCATCCCAACAGTGAAGTATGTTGGAGGAGCATCATGATGTGCTACCTGTGGACCTGGACTGCTTGCCATTGTGGGGGCAAAATGAATTTCCAAGTTTATCAAGCTGTCCTACAGGATAATGTCAGGGTGGCTGTCGGCAAACTGAAGGTCAGAGCAAGCTGGGTGATGAACAATGACTCTAAATAAATTCTACTACAGAATGGCTTTGGAGACACAAAATCCACCTTTTCAAGTGGCCCATTCAGAGCCCAGACCTCAACCCAGTAGAGATGCTGTGTTTTTGACCTCAAGAGAACCATTCACACCAGACAGCCTAAGAATATGGCTGAGCTGAAGCAGTTCTACTGGAAGAATGCTCAAAATTTCTCCTGAATGTTGTGCAGGTCTAATCCACAGCTACAGGAAATGCTTGCTTGAAGTATTGTCAAAAGGTGGTTCAATCAGTTATTAAAACACTGTTTCCATTATTATTTCTACCATCACTTCCGAAATATTGTGTTTGTTGATATTTGTAACTTTGGTGAAGATCAGATCACATTTCATGAGCAATTTATGCAGAAAACCAGGAAACTGCAAGCAGTGCCATTACTTTTTTTATATATATATTGTAAACTTGTCTGTATTAAAACATTATATAAATGATCACAGAGAGCATGTGTGGCCATGACTGGAGTTTTAATGAGCCATCTCATTCGTCAAGTGTGCAGGGAATGTCAGCATGCATAAGAACTGCCAGTCCATGTGCAACATTTTCCACTCTGTTTGCTCAGTTTTTTAATTAGTTGGCACCAATATTCACATCAATAACTTTTTCTTTTTTATTTTATCTATATGTTTTTGTTTGGAATGGAACTGAAACAATTAACAGAATAGCTGTAAATATGTTTTGTCAATCAGCGGGTGAGTAATCTACATAATGTTTCAGCTCTAATGTGCATTAAAATTTCTTAAGGACATGCTTCAAAAACATAATGTATCATAATAATAAGCCATTATTATGTTATATTGTGGCCATGACAGTCTGGAGAGCACATGTAATGTTTAAACGCATGAGTGATGATAGTGAGTGGGGGTGCCCTATGTACAATCAGATGCAAGCCAGCAGATACTATACCGATATATGTTATACTGTACATGTTAAAGAATTTTTATTCAACAGACAAAACAAAAACTAAAAGAATTTCTGAACATAAAGCTGAAATTAGAACAAGAAAAAACTAATTATGTTATGATCAAACATATGGAAGCAAGTTATTGTCATCTTCCTCACAGTTTGTTGGCCTTGAACAGGTGTTGTACATGGTGGATACCTCCCAAAACTCCTGTCTCAGAGAAAAATGTTTTTGATAGACAAGCTAAATGTAATGTTCCCACACGTTTAAATGACCCATTTACTGTCAAACCTTTTTTAAAAAGCTATGTATTTATTTTGCGGTTGCTGAGTTGTCTTTAAAACGTGCATAACTGAGTCATGTTGGGTTTTTGGAGTGGGGTATTTTTTATCAATGCAGAATCATTGGTTGTGGGTATTGTCTTTGTGTGGGTTGGTGTGGACATGGAGAAGCAACCCTGAGATGTATAGGTACAAGTGATTTGTTTTAGATTGGTGTTCACATGATGTGTCCTTTACAGGGGTTAATTTGTGTTGTGGTGTTGGATCTGGATCCAGCACCTCTCAAACTGTGACGGCACCTAGTTTGATGGACCCAGCCCCTCATTTACAAATTGGATATATGAATGATATATAAAAAGTATGAAGAGTAATACTTTTTGTACAACTAGTATAACATTATGTTAGCTATGGAGCAAAAATGCAAAAAACACCAAAGTATTTACTGAAGTATTTCAAGTTGCAGCAGGGCAAAGCTAGTCAGAAACTAAAAGCTAAACAGGCCAAATTGGACCCAGTTATAAAATCTACTGTTAATGAAAAGTTTAGTACAAGTCAGTCTGATGCTGAGGTCATGAGGTCTGGATTTCAAATGGACACAGGACTGGCCAAGATCACAGAAGCAAAGAAGCAAAACACAGAATAACATGAAAGAGAACTCTTGCCCTATGAATGCGTTATGGGCTGTTTTAAATAAGTGAAGGTAAGAGCATGATTATTTAATGTTACCTCATTATATAGCCTCTGGTGTGCTTTAAATTTGTTGTTGTAATATTCCAAATATAATGTTAATGTGTAGTGGAATAATAAGGCCCCAAATATTATGTCAGGCTTGCTACTGACTGAACGGATTAGAGGCAGTAGTCTCACAGTCGTAAGGTACTTAACATTATGCTCAACACTTATAACTAGCACTTGCAAATGTGAGTCTTCTTATGTGATTTATTGGTCGCTACAAACACATAACAAATAATGTTCACCTCTAAGCTGCTCCCTTAATGTGAAAGCTATGTAAGCACACTGGTCATTAAGGAATTTTTTTTCATCCCAGGACCTCCTCTTCTCAAATTGACATGCCAGGTCCATCACAAAGTGATATTCCAGGTCTTCATAATTTACAAATTATACTCACTCTTGTCACATAAGCTATGTAGAAGGCCTGATGCCAAAAGATGTCAGCAGATTTGTGAGCTTATTGTTTGTAAATAAACTCTTTTTAATGATTGATACATCAATGTTATAGGAGACCATTTATGTTTACTATGCAGTGATGCCTTCATTCCTGACTTTGGTTTAAAGAACACAGAAGACACAAGATGTGTTAGCTGCTTAGGTCCTGCCCTCTCAAGGAAAACCCAAGACTTGGACAGAAATAAAAATACTCTGTCATTTTCTATCTTCCTTTCTACTTTCTATCCAACATTTTATATATATAAAATTGAAACCCCAAGTTCAAAATCTGGCAAATGAAAAATACAAATTTGGAAAGTTAAATTCCAAATAAAATTGTGAGAAATAAAAGAGAGGCACTCAGATAACCATTGCTGCAACAGTTCAGCTGAACATTTTCTTCAGTCTTTCCTCTAAGGCACATGTGTCAAACTCAAGGCCTGCAGGCCGAATACAGCCTGTCAGATCACTTTATGTGGCACTGAACAGCTTAAAATGCATATGGTTGTCTTAAAATAAAAGTCTATACTC